TGCTCGCAGACCACCATCCTGATCGACTGGCGTCGCAGCACGCGCTCGCTATAGCATATAAAGTGAATAGTTAGATCAAGGAGGCGGTTAAACTACTAGAAAATGTTGTCGCGATAGAATCAGAAGTACTCGCAGAAGACCACCCCTCACGACTAGCGTCGCAGCATGAGCTCGCTGGAGCATATCAAACAAATAGTCAAATCAAGAAGGCAGTTAAACTGCTAGAACATATTGTCGCGATAGAATCAGAAATGCTTACAAAAGACCATCCCTTACAATTGGCGTCGCAGCATAAGCTCGCTCGAGCATATCAAGCAAATAGTCAGATCAAGGAGGCAGTTAAACTGCTAGAATATATTGTCGCGATAGAATCAGAAGTACTCGCAGAAGACCACCCCTCACGACTAATATCGCAGCACACGCTCGCTGGAGCATATCAAGCCAATGGACAGATCAAGAAGGCGGTAAAACTGCTAGAACATGTTGTCGCGATAGAATCGGAAGTGCTCGCAGAAGACCATCCTGATCGGCTGTTATCGGAGAGGACCCTTGCTGCTTTCAACAAGGATCTGATGAAGAGATCCAGAACAAGACAGGCTTCTGCAACTCCGCAAGCAATGTCTGAAAACAATGTCACTTCCACTGCGCTATCAGATCAATCACCAGCAGAACAGGATCCGAAGCTAAGCTACAAGTCGAAAGGAAGGCTTCTCGTGAGGCAACTAAAGGGCTTTTTAAAGAAGGTCAATTAGTACTGGTGTTCGTTCTGTAAAACAATGGATTCTAGGCTACCAAATCCTTGGCTAACACGGTCATTGGCAAGGATATAAGGGATTACCTGGACGGTTTTGCACCTTCCGCAGCAATGTATGCCTCTTAACCAACTTTCTGCTAGTCGCTGATACACAGCCTCTCACCCACTTTTTCATCATGGAAGTATAACTACTATCATCACCTCTTGTTAAGCGCGACTTATGAACTTTTCACCCATGCAAAGCACCTTGCTCGAATTTCGCAGCTAATACACCGCCGATTTCCAGATGGCGTTCGTAAATTTATAGAACTTTCCGAGACTCCTGTGAGACCGACTGTCTATACTATTGTAACGGCCGCGCCTTTAGCATAGATTAGCTAATCATATATCTCTTTCTTCGTAGCATGTTAGTGGCACATTCCAACGCTTGACTAAGAGAGTACAGGGCAATCAAGTTATCGAGAGTGAGGGCATATCTGAATTCTAGTCTCAAGGGTACTAGGGTATCAATACCTTTTAAGTACAAAACATGTTATTAACCGTATGAACATATCCGGATTAGCGCACCATGTGATCAGGATTCAGAAAAGCGCCCGTGTTTCCAACATGGAAGGCGGTAATGGTCGCCTCTGTACAAGCAAATGAAGCCACTGGCGCATCTCTGATCCCCATTCGTGCCAGGCCAAAATCAGAAATATACGATACCGTATACCACTCAAAAATAAAAATAAAAAGCAATAAAAACCTGCTCTAACTGCGCCGAACCTCCTTAGTACGCCGAAGGGTCGAATATCCATCTACAGGTACCCCATCTAAATGTTGCACGCCAATTACAGATGCAAGAACCTCACTTAGCAGACAGCTATGAGGCTCTTCAGGAAAATAGTCCTTTCTCAGCGGTTCATCCGGTATGCTTCCATACTTCTCACAATTCCGAGAGCTGCCCCCATGAGCGTCGAGCTGATGGTTAACCTCTGCCGTGCTTGATTTCCGGTTCCACTTGGCATAAAGTACTTCAAATGGGCGTTTCGACAGATCCTTACTCTTTTCGCCACCCAGCACGAAGAATGACTCTGCTGACCCACCTTACCCCGAGGAATTGGTCTCCAACTGCCTTCGTCTCGCCCATCGGGGCCTCATATTGCGCGACTCAAGATAATTGTTCTCCGGTTACCGGGGGCAGCTAGTGGTCGTGGAGTGGAGATCCGGACCGGAAAACGCTGCCAAAGGCACGATAGGCCAGCGAACCATCTCAATTTCCAGATCAGTTTGCCACATGTACTGGATCTTATCATGGATAATCGGGTCTTTCCTATAACCAAGAACTTTCCAGAGTTTCGTCCGAAAAATAAACCAGTCAGAATCATAGTCGTCCCAGTCAAGGCTGGGCCCAGTGGATGACATCTCTTCGTCAGCACTCAAACCGGCACTGTCTCCTTGTATTTCTTCACCTAACTCATCTTCTTGCATAGACTGGGAGTAGAGGTCCCCTGGGCATGGTATCCCTCGAAGCTTCGGGAATATCCTGCGCCACTCCGTTGCAACGCTCTGGAGTTTGTCCCGTTGCATCAAGTGTCGTGGATTCTCGAAATAGATTCTCGCGAAGTGCATGCTTTCCAACCGTCAGAGCGGATGCGGTTCTGTTATCACTGCGAGAGAGATGCATAATTGAGTCATAGGCAGGTCAAGCACTGTCAGTCGCGGGCAGTGACGTGAGATATCTTGAAGCAGTGCACCGTGCATCTGGAACTTCACTCCCAGAACGAGAAACTCCAAGTGAGGCAGAGCAGGCAACAGACCTAGCAGCAGGTCTTCCCCTAACGTTGGGTCTTCCCTAAAGTCTATGCACCCCACGCTAAATTCTCGTAAAAGCGGGCAGCATCGCGCGATCTGGATGAGCTCTTCTTCGTCGCGAAACTCACCGAAGTGCAGATTGAGAACTTGTAGATGTTGGCATGATGCTATATTCTCAATTATACTATGGTCGATGAAGCGTATTTCCGGCCTAAGATTTTCCAAGCTGAGGATTTGAAGTTTCTCGAATTCTGGTAATTGATCCAACCAGTCTTCCTCCCCCTCTCGAATATACAAGGCCTTCAGGTTTGGCCATGAAATTCCCTGTTTCCAAATACGGGGTTCACAATGGCGGACGTCCAGCGCCATTACCTTGAGATTTTGTTGTTGTTGAAGGTATGATAGGAGCTCCCCAGCTACATTCTCCGACGATATGCTCAGTTTCGTATACTAGTGCCTTCCGAAAAATCTCGTATAGTTCGCGACCAGCATCGGATTGAGTTAGGCCTTCAGTTCCAGACGGTTCCTCGAGGCAGAAAAACTGCAAATCACAACTTCTTAGCAGCCGACAAATCTCATCCATCTGGCGGCGGCTGCCTGATTGGTATATCGTGAGAGCCTTGAGGCTGGGGAACTTATACCGCTCGAGTTAGGCATGATTTTACAGGAAGAGGATCATTGCGAACCAGACCAGACTTACCGAGGCTTTGATGAACTCTTGGGAGCTAACAATCAGTTTACAGTAGTAACTATCAATGGCCAAAAACTCAATGGTTGGGTTGATAAGGATGTCAGGAAACAGCGACCAATCTTGATCCTTGATCTCGAAAGGGATTGTGAGACTTGAAAGAACCCTTCCCCGCGGCTGCAGAAGGTACTCAGCGTATTGACGATGACGCATTGCGCGACATTTCTCTAAGCATACAAGCCGAGTATGTGGCCCTTCGACTTCATCAATGGCGGGTCTCTCAGGAGAAAGAAGAAGATGCTTCACGAAACTCATATTGCGGGCGAATTGCTTCCGCGATGCTACAAAAGGGCAATTGAGTGACCCAATGTCCGGTGTGCGGAACTGCATGTCGTCCAGAGAGCCCTTGTACAGCTTCTTTAAAGCGGCCACGTTCCATATGCTGTTCACACCAGCGCAATTCAGAAGGTACGGGACATTGTAAATATTGTTGATGACAAGACCAACAATTTCCGGGACCAACAGTGGATTTCGTGCGTTTCGCTCAAATCTGGCAACCATCCTGAGAAGACGCACCGCCGGAGAACATATATTAACCGTTAGTATCTCGATATTAGGCCAATCATCCGTGGTCACCGTAGGAACTCGATGGTGTTGGTGGGAAGAGGCGGGAATGGCCCGATTTTTTGGGACATGGGACAAACAGGCTGTCGTAAGATGCCACTACTGTAGGCTCCTCTTGGAGAGTTATTCAAGAAGAAACGGTTCATATATGAACCATTGACGGGCGCAACGCTGAGTGATTGGACGCCCAAGCCCCTGAACCACTAGCGCCTTCAGCGCAACGCTGGCTGCAAATGACGTATCTCTTATTGGATAACATCTGACGCCCCGCTTCAGCGCTTGAGCCTCAGCTGGCCAACGAATTACTCTGAAATTGCTCTGTCTCTGAAGAGATTATATCGTGACAATGTATATCGCCTTGCATCAATTCACCGTATCACCACCCGGCCTCCCGCTCTTACGGTTTAACTGAGAGCTGAACGGACTCTTATTTCATTGAAAAGGAGGATGCATGTTTGTTGGAACGAATACGATGTAGTTTAGTCCTTGAAATTAGGAGTATGTTGGCCGTTAAAAGCTGCTGGCCTCTGGAAGCAATCCTTAAGTGAACATAATTGCGAAGTATAGGTATATACATAGGCTAGACACTAAGTATCACCAATCATAACTCATGACCCGGGAATTGCATTCCTGAGTATACCCGACATGGGAATCAGCTCATTCCAGGACCAATTATCCCAAGTCGGTGAGACTCCTAGCTCAGGAACGGCAAACCTGAGACCCAGAGGGACGTACGCCGCTAGCCATACGGCCGATCTGGCTGGAAGCCCCAGTGAAAGATCGGATCGGGGCTTTAAGTCGAAATCAGCCATAGGCTCGTGGTCTGATCACCGAGAAGGTCGGAGGGGGTGGAGCAGCGGCCCAATGTGGTAGGCTCAGATACCGATGACCTGTGCAGTACGATCGAGTGCGAAGGCCTAGTGGTCTAGCACCAGAAGCGCCAGACCCTGTGCTTCGGACCGACTTCATCATAGGGCGCCGGTCGTACGACCACCATGGACGGAGGACCGCCAACTGGCGTCCATGGCGGCTGCCAGGCCCAGACAGTCGTCTGCCTACATGTTTGCGGCCCTTCTAGTCTCCCGACCGCCCAATGTAACTAAGGAAGATCCTTGGCCTCACAGTTCCACGTCGCGTGCGATCGACCTCATCGTGTCTTCGTCCATCGCAAGCTCCCCCCCGAAGTGCATAAAGATGGTATTGGTGTCATCCTCAATGGCCGCCTTGAAGCATTGTGCGGGCGTGAGCAGCCGCAGATTCTTATCGTAGAACGTTGCCTGCCGGTTTCTCGCCTCCTTTCTCGCCACCCGTTCTACCTGCGATGGATCCGACCGATCAACGACCACCTTGTGTGCCGTCTTCCAACGCCCGTCGGTTTCTCGGACCCGGAACACGACCGTCACGGGCTGAGGAGTTGCCTCTGCCTGACGGGGCCGCACATTCTGCGCCCGCCGAGCGACTAGGTACGGGGGGTTCAGTACGTGGCGAAGCAACTCCAGCCCCCGGTTCCGGATGTCCCTACGTTGGATGATTGGCAAGGGGTACACTTTCATCCTCCAGCTGGCTTCCCTCGTCCCGCAATCGTGTAATCAGATCCGGCAAGTCAAGGGGAAGCTCAGTCACAGGGCGGGGGATAGCCCCAGGTGTTTGTAGCTGGTCGAGAGTATCCGCACGCTCCCGGGCGACTAGATCATCTTGGGATTCTCCACCCGCTCCAGTGATGAGCTCCGTTCCGGGCGGAATTTGCTCTCCGACTGTTCCTTGCGGAGCTTCAGCTGGTAATGGTCCTCCAGAAATATGCTCCGGACCATCCGGCTCGTCGACCGACAGCGTTACTTCTGGCTCAGTGTGCTCTGCGATGGGTTGCAACGGACCAAATCCGGGCCGTTGCTCCGCGCTTGGCTCCGAGTTGGTCATAGCCCCTTGTGCGACCGACTGGCCTCGAGCGGCAAGCGATCTTTTTGTCACGTTACGGTTGCCTTTCTGTGTAGCATCATATGGTTTCCATGTCGTATCCTTAAGAACTGTGGAGATTGTTGGTGACTGAACAGTTGACTGGCGTGATAATGTAGCTGGTATTCCAGCACGATCTTCCACCGACTCGGATTGGGTCAGTGCGGAAGAACCCAGGTCCATGGCCCCGTCCACTGCATCTGCTCCCTCAACTGGCACGCTGGACATATCCGTATCACGTGGCGCCCCTGAAGTCAAAGAAACCACAGTGGCTGTGCCCTCCACCCCCGGACTCCCACCCTCTGATCGGTTACGTAGGTCATCTTCATCGATCTCCGTATCATCCGGTTCCTCACTGCCAGAATCCATTCCTCTGCTACCTGCCGGCTGTTGTCCGACAATCTGCCGTCGAATCTGATCTCCTGCGTCAGACCTTTCACAATCCATATCCATGACCTCAGAGATAGTAGACGCCGCTCTTATGGAACTTGATATGGAAGGCTCTTGGGGAAGAGGTGGGCCGTGCTCCACCGCCGGCTGTCTTTCTTGGTGTCGATGCCATCGATCTCCTTGCCTCTGATCTTGTTCTTCAGGGGTTTCCAAACGATCCTGACGGCCATGGAATGACGCCTCATCAGAGCCGTTTATCGACATATTGTCGTATGCCGGTTCCGACTCTGATCTCGGAACATCGCTGGGGATAAACAATGGTGAAACAGGCTCGCTGGACGATGGATGCCCCGGAGAAGCACGTGGGGAGGTTGTTGGGGAGGGCTTGCCAAAAAAGGCGTAGTAAACGCTTCTTCTCACCTCCAGCGATGAGAGGTTTCTTTGCGACACCGTTGCCGAGTGTAGAGTGTCAAAGAAGATATGCGGACGGTCTAGTTGCTGGGTTTGCTCCAGAGGCACTCCACAGCGCTCCATTAGCTGAATTGCCCGTCCAGTGATATGCGCCACCGGTGCGGCCTCGTTTGGGATAGCGAGCGCAAAATAACCAGCAATCTGCTCAACAAGAGACTCGAAAGTCTCATGGTCATAGTGGTAGTGATCCGGCTTCCGTGCTTTGAGCAGGGCAGCCCGGGCAATCTAGTGGTCAGGTGATTGTCGTAGGATCGCCCTAATTGGTGGAGTATGAAATCCTAGCTGCTTGGCAAGGGTGGCCATTCCATGAATCAAGCTCTCGTCCGCCGTCGCTCGTGCCTTTGCCCGCGTGGGATTAGCCTTTGGGCCGCGCTGAAGATCCTTGGCCATGTCCGGGTAGTGTCGCATCGCGTACATCCAGATTTGACGATAACAAGAGGATATACGTCCATCCCTAGATCCAGGCTGTCGTCGGAAAGAAGACTCCGATGTCTGGATTAGACAAGATCCGTTGGAGCGACGAGATCGAAAGCTATGGACTAGCGCGCTTCGTACGGTCAGCTGTTGCTTGTTTAAAACAACCAGCCGTTTCACAGCATTGGCACAGAGTTCCAAGTAGGAAATATCGCGGAAAAAGGTATGAAGGGATGAGATGATGCCGTCGCACATTTCCTGGGTCCGGATCTTCTCCCATATTCCCACACGTTGGGACCGGCTAAAGTTGGAGAAGACCTCCCCGCCGAGGATTTTCCCCTTCACCGTCTTCCGGTCAACTTTAGACGCACGGGGAGCGTAGAGCTGCAGGGTGTCAACGGTGTGGAGGTCAATAAGGGCCACCCGAGTGCGGTCATGGTTGACAAGGGTTGCCCAAAAGTTCTTTAATGTGTCAAGTAGTGAATGAGTTCCTAAGACAATAAGTCAGGGATAGCCTACAGATAGCGACGAGTAGGACCAACTTCATCACACTTTAAAGCAAGGACTGTGTTTAATAACCCAAGGCTCATCCTATTCCAGAGCCCGGGGATCGCAAGTAACGCGTCAAATGCTGCACAGAGATGTGTGTTATCCGGAGAAGTGAGCTACCTTAGCCGCTTGGCTTTGTTCGGCGATAGTCGAGTCCACCAACGATTTTGAAAGAGCGCATTCGCCTCATGCTGATACTGGCGGATTTCCGGTACACTTCTCCATCAGTTGGCGCCTTTTCGTTTGAATACTCATCTATGAGTGCACTCCTTAGATCAGGGCTTATGTCTACAAGAGAGGATTAGTATGGATTGGGAAATTATGCTTTTGAAATCAGACCATCCAGATATATGTCCACCGTCCACCACCGGTCTGAGGGAGGTAAGGTTTCCTCAGCAGCTTTCAATCTATGTTGCCCATGGAGACATTGTACTTGATGCCTACGAAAAAGGAGGCGGGGGTATTGCGGTTGACAAGTTTTAAGTTCTTCGGGGGTCAGTCCTGCGGCACGGCATGCTCTTTCGAGGTGGTTGCCTGGAGACAACAGCAGTCACATGAATTCGAATGTCGAGTCGCTGGCACCCATCCTTAGCAAAGATATCACGTAATCGTTCCACGTTCTTTTGGTCAATTTCACGGCTTATGAGTGGCTGGAGAGAGATTTGGTTGAGGCCGATCTTGGCGGTGCCTTGGTACTTTAGGAGTCGTTCGACGGTTAATCGCCGTTCGGTATCTGTCAACAAATCCATAGCTTTAAGTTCACAAATAACTTCGGCCTTTTTTTGTCGATACTCGGAGGTGAGGCAGAACTATTTATGTTCAGCTGAGTCGACGTTATGCGGTACTTGCTTGTACCCTTACTGGGTTGTTGCAGGTTGAGCGCTGAAGCGCTGAAGCGCCAATTTCCTCACACATCAGCCGCGTCCCTCTTTGGAAGACCTTTTTATTTTCCATAAAGGAGGCCACCATCCGAAACGGATCCAGGAATATTTCACGCCGAGTTGAAAGAGGGTCAGAAGGGTATAAATGCAGACCAGTCCTCGAGTCCGAGATTAACTGGCATACAACTTCCACTTTCCACATTTGAGAGCTGCTTCCCACATTATCTGTACCTCCATTACGACGACCCCTACCTGTGGATGGCGAAAAGGCTTCGGAAACACATGTCGAACCTCCATAGAAAGGCTGCAGGACTATTCTATGCTGGGTTCGGCGAGTATGCCCATCCTCATTAATTGTGAGGATGATAGGGCTAGTGGACTGGTTAACGCGGATGGTGATACCATCCAGGAAACGCCCAGCCATCGCTCACTGAGCTCTGTCTGCTACGGCAGCCAGACAGAACAGAGTTTAGGACATTCAGGGTTCAGCCGCACCAACTTCTTTGGCTGGAAGGTCTCCATCCTATGACGAGATGGTGGTGCGGCGATCAACCCGCGGTGAATGCGCCTCAACAGTGTCTTCGCCTGTGGAGGACATGGAGAGCGCCGTACAGAACACATGCTTCGGTAACCTGAACCGTGCTCTATGGACGAAAAACTTACAAGGCCTAGAGTGTACAACCGAGAGTAGAGGACAAGCGGCGTCTGATGGGGAGCATATCCATGGCGCTCGGACTGTAGCGGTGGCATGGCGTTCCCATCAGCTAAACAAGATAGTACCTGGGCTCCAGAGACCGGTATGTTATATCTTCACCGTTAAGATCGTTTTGCTGGCTGAACGAGTACACCAGATACCCTATTCGATTGCCCTCGCTCAATGCCCGTGCAGCCACCAGGCAGCCAAGTCGATTCTGTGACAAGCGTCCTTACACACCGGTCAACTCAAGAGGGTGGGTTGGAGTTTCTCTGCCTCAGAATGGAGTGGCAGTCCTACTACTAGTTGAGATGGCGTGCTCCACAGCTGCTCACTCACTATGTCCATCATACCAGCTTCCAACATAGTCCCAGAGTACGTAAAGACGGGCCGTTTCGGAACTGACCCTAATGTCAAAGCATCCAAAGTGAGCCAGGGCGCAGTAGGTTAGGTCACGTTGTGCCTCTTCGCATTTCTGTATGGCCAACTCGATTCATCCAACTTGATTTCTTATAAATTTGAATCCAAGCTTTGTGAATGGCAAGTTCATCGGCACATGCAGCTATTGGCCAATACGAAGTCGCTTCCGCCCGTGTACCTCGGCCCCACACGAGTGCTGCTCTCGTAACCTCATTCGCTTTTTCATCGGCCGGCTAGCCAATTGGGAACGATGAAAGTCAATGATCAACACCCGCTCTAGCTCGGCGTTCCACAGCATGTTATCCGGCCGAAGGTCCTGGTGTAATACCCCGAGTGAGCGAATCGCCTTCTGTGATCGCGAAACCTCATGCCTGATCGTCTCAATATCTTCCAACTTGTGGATGGGTTCACCGCCCCAACCCATCAGGAGCATATGGCGGATCTGGCCAGCCCCGTGCAGGAAGTAGACCATGGCCAGGTCGATTGTGCCGAGAAAGACCGGGACGGCTCGCCCTTGGGCTCGCCAGAGGATACGATAAATATCCGCCTCTCGCTTGACCTCATTCCACAGGTAAGACGTGGTTCCTTTTCCGACGACCGTATACCCATATGCGGTGCACGTGATTTTGAAGGGCGCTCCCGATGCTCCACAGCCTCCCATGGGGGTGCAGTCGACGTCGAGATTTTGGTCCAGTTGCTGCTTAATCCGCCGAACCAGACCGCTGGCGTCAATCAAGTGTTGGTTGCTGGTGCCACCCTGTCGATGAAGCTCGACATTCGGGCAGCAGTCATCCAGCGTGCCTCCTCGCTGCAGGCCCAACAGACATCGCTGGGTACAAAATTGAGTGTTGTGTTGGTACCGACCGTGTTCGTTCGGCCGGGTGCCCGTTTGACGGGCTGATCGCTGCACCGATGGAGATGATGGAGATGACGTAACCTGGCTGAAGCCACGCTTCCGCCCGCCGGGAGCGGAGTCCGTACCCGAGTCTGGAGAATCCTCGCGCTCCATGGTATTCGGCGCGCACTGGGCTCGAGACCGGGTCGGTATTCGACGTCGTTGTGTAGGAGATTCCACCGGAGAGGACGACGGGAGGTACTCGGAGACCGTCCGTCCGGAACTCACCGAGGGACTATATTCGGAGCTCGGCGGGTTTTGTCGTAATTCTCTTTCCGGGATTTGGGAGCGGGTATGATCGAAACTCGTCTTCCAGACCGGCAGCTGCTTCCGTGCCTTATTTCGCCAGGCCTGGTCGCGGACCGGCGCGCCAAAACACAGCAAGCACAGACACAATACCCGCGCAACGGTCGTCAACGGCTGATCAAAGCTCTGGTCATCATTCAGATCGATCTCCATGTTTGGCTCACACAGGTGGTAGTACAACGTCCCCGGCTCATCGTAAGGGACACGTAACAGAACCAATGCCAATCCGTTCGTCAAATATGAGTACTCGAGACCTTCCTGGATCATGACATGGTACTCTTGAGTTATAGCCGATCCGGTCAGCCAGGCTGCATTATACGACAATTTCGCGGATTCCTCCGTGGGGATGGAATTGGGCTGGACCACCTCTTCCCAAAAGTTCATCTCTCGCAAGCCGGCGCGCAGGTTCTCGACGGACAGTTTATGAGGCGGCTTATACTCGACTGTGGTAAGAAGCGTATTTCTCTCACCGTCAACGCGGCGGATGCAAAATTGATCTGGTCTAGAACGCCGGTACGTCGAGGATTCAGCCAGTAGGGACGGATCAGCCTCAGTTTGATCGAGGGCGTTTGCATGATTGTCAAACTTGACCCCATCGCCCAAGCCAAATTGGTCTCGGGCAGCAGGGTTCTTGCAAAGTTCTGCGATGATGTCATGAACATAGTTCTCCACACCAAATCGTTCATAGCTTTCCAGATCCTGTTCACTACTTATAGCTCTTTCACCAAACCTTTGCCCCAGATCCTCCAGCACAAGGCGGGGCGAGAATAGTTGCGCGGCGGTCTCCCCTGGAGTCTCCAGATAGGCGCAAATAGAGCGGTAAACCTCCTGTTGTCTGGCGGCACAATCTTCCCAATGCCGAAGCCGCAACGGACAATATTTCCCGGTCGGCGGGGGTATTTTACCAGTCGTAGAGCGAGACGGGGTTTCAACTCGTAGCTGCAGCGAGAAAAGGGAGTGGCACAGGCAAAGGAGCTCGAGAAAGGTCGTTGGCCGTGTTCGTTCTCGTCCTTCGTCCCGCTCTTCCTCTGCCCTCTTCTGACTCTCTTCAGCTCGTCTTCGTTCTTTCTTTTCTCGTTCTCGCTCTTCCTCTGCCCTCTTTTGACTCTCTTCAGCTCGTCTTCGTTCTTTCCTTTCTCGTTCTCGCTCTTCCTCTGCCCTCTTTTGACTCTCTTCAGCTCGTCTTCGTTCTTTCCTTTCTCGTTCTCGCTCTTCTTCTGCCCGCCTCCGTTCTTCCTCTGCCTTTCTTTTGTCTTCCTCCGCCCTCAGATAAAGCGCCTTATAATCCGGAGAGCTGGAACTATCCATCTATTCGATAAGTCGTGAACATGTACAGAATCGACGCGGGTTATTCCGACAAGAACCTAGAACAAACGAGATGTCAACAAACAGGATCGACTGGAGAAGTCTGGCTTGGAGTCGGCAAAGAGTCAATATGAGGGAATTTAAGAGCCATAAGACAACCTATTCTGGCTCAAAATGTTCGTACAGAATCAACTAATTCGTAAAGGCGGAATCTTCGAGGGCATTTACTGAGACGGGGGACGAAGGGAAGGTGATATACTGTCCTGGGAGAAAGGGCTGGTTAGCGCTTACTTATCACGTGATATACTGATCGTGTGGACCGACTCGTGTGGAGGCACGTCGTATTATTAGTGCACATTGGCCGTGCCAAGCATTGATCCATGACCCATGCTAACCTTCGATAGGTCCCGCAACTCATAAAAACATCATCAACCGATATTTACAGTTAAAAGGGAGAAGAATCCCCAGGTCAAAATTTTAACATGTTCCAAATCGAGTCCGGCACCTTTTACTCCTGGCGTTCCCACAAGTAGCCAGAACACCCCCACGATCCAATAAACAAAATTAACTAGTGCCTAATGGAATATTGCATATAACACTGCGAGTTGCAGTTCGGTTTGATACCAGTCATTACCACGGGTAGTTAAGTACCCTAAATAGTTCAGTTCGGTGTTTCTGGACCAGTTTACTGCTTGTCCTGGGAGTAAGCTCAAGAACAACCTGACCACCAGGATGGAAGGAAACCGAAAGGTTTGTTTGGATGAGTTCCAAAGATAGACCCCGCCGCGGAATGGAGAGTTAACCACGTGATAATGTCATGTCGAGAGACTAAATATGGAGTTCATTGACCCAGACGGCTTGTATTGGCTTTCGTTGCTTCTTTCTCGGCTGAGCCCCTCTTCTAATACATTCATGAAGCCTATCCCGAAATCTGCAATTGATCCTAAGCTTGTCGAGTTTACACCTTTTTCCCGTGGCTCCCATCATTCAAAACACCCAGCCTCATCTTCCAGCACCATACCATACCTGCACTCCATCCGCCGACACTGGACTTAGACTGAGCAGTTCTGTGTCACCGTTGCAAAAGCCTCAAGGATAGTCTCCTTGTCGTTTCCAAACAATTTATACTTGTCGCGTCGCACCTCATCCTCTGTTGCCCATGCAAAATCTTGGTGCTCCCTAGGATTCAGTTGTATTACGTCCTTGCATTTTAGTGCTCGCCCTGACACCCCTTGCCTATTTTCGTGGGATATGGAATGTTCGAGCTCGGAGACCTCAATGATGTATGGAAGGCCAACCCATTCGTGCTGTTCGCCTTCCTTAGATCGCGTCCAGGTCTGAATCGGGAGAGCGTGAATGACTCGGGACAGTTGCAGGCCAGTCTCTTCCCGAACCTCTCGCTCTAGAGCATCTCGTGGTGTTTTGTCCTGTTCTTCGCAACTCCCAGCGGGTACCTTCCAAAATCCAGGTTCGCTATCGCAAAGAGCGCGTTGAATAAGAAGGATACAAGGTTTTCCTGAGACCCACAAGAATATATGGGCACTAACTCTGATGCAGTAGGCGGTGTCGTGGAATCTAAGTTGATGAGGCAATTCTGTGATGCGAAAAGCCGATAGGTCCGTGTCGCACTCAAGGCCGAATAATAACCGCTTCACGTTGCGCACTGCGGCAGAAGGATCATGCTTGTACTGCAAAAGATATCTCTGCAACTCCGCAGCTGTGAACCGGCCCGAAGGCACTTCGCAGGCGAATGCAGTGGATAAGTTATCAATATCTTCCAGCCTCCAATCAGGGTTGGCTGGTATGGATAATGGTGTGATCTCCATAAAAAAAGTGTCAGCAGGTTGCAAATAAAACATGAGAAATATCTGCCGAGCTTCTTGCCATTCAACTGGACCCATGTTAATTTTCATGTCCACACGCCCTGGACGCAAGAGAGCGGAATCCAGCCGCTCGGGGTGGTTGGTGGTCATGATCAAAACGCGGTTCTCTTGCGCTGCTAAGCCGTCAATAGCGTTCAAGACGGCAGAAAGGGTGACACTCCCAGGTGACCACTGGATACGGTCGACTCCATTGTGATCTGGCTTTCCGCTCGGGGGGCTATCGCTGCTGCGCTTCTTGATGCCGGCTTCGTCGATGTCTTCCAGGAGAACAATGCAATGTTTTGGTAGGTCGCGGAACAAAGTAGCCAAGACAGTCTCATCAAGGCCAACTGCACTCAGACTGAGCGCGTATATATCCAAATACGAAAAGCTGGCAAGTGCTAGTGACAGGCTTGACTTGCCAGTACCCGGCGGACCATAAATGAGATAGCCTCGTCGATACGGGATCCCGTGGGACTCGTACCAGCTCTTGGTCCTGGGGTCTAGAAATTCCTGGAGATCTTCAACAACACGCCTCTTCTTATCTTGATCCAAGGCTACAGTCGAGAAGAATCGGGGATCTTTAGATGCCACTTGCATCCATTGGCAACTGGACCCCACCTTGAACCCCTCGTACACAGCGACTTGTTTGGGGTCTCCATTAACAGGGGTCTTATGAATCTCATCCATGAGATCATCGAGGACGTGTCTTTTTCCCGGCAATGCATAAAAATGAAGTCTCTCCATAGCCGCAAACCAGGGGCTCCCTGTTTCCTTATACGGCTGACGATACAATGCAACCCAAGAGCCTTTGTACGTGAAAAAATGGATTTTATCCTGCGAAGGTGTATACCGGAGTGTACCGAGATGACGACGACATTTTCTTTTAAGCCAAAATTCCCTTGGGCTCTGACCAAATGATTGGTTATCCATGGGAACATCTTCCTCATCATCGGCCTTGCCATCGTCGCCATCCCATGGCGTGGACAGACTTGTCCTTGTACCTGCTACCCGCTGACGGGTCCGATTCAAAGCTGGTTGGAGGGATATCCAGCGCATGGCGCTCGGATACAATTTGTTATGGCTCCATATTTCAGTCGACGTTGCAAAATATAGGAAGAGAAAAATAATCCGGTTGCAACATGCTGGGAGAGCGAAGGACAAGAAGGCCAGGACTGCCGCAGAGATACGTAGGTGAGATGAGATATCAATATTGAAAAAGAGAGAAACCAAATGGGAAAAGAAACCAAGGCCCGGAATCAGATCTTCGATCATCGATGGCAGCATGCCAGAGGGCAGACTCGTGGAGTTGACGCCAGAAGCCATTTGAACTTGAATTTGATGATTTAGTACTCGTCCTTGGGGGAAAGCTCTAGCCCTCTTTATACAATCTACTCTGGGTCAAACAGCCGCACTCAGTTCGGTGATACGAGGCACGCCCAGTGCACGTGTCGGAGACAACCCGGCGAAGTAATTTCCTGATCTAGGAATCTACTGCGCGGTCTTTTGCTGGTGTGGCGTCATTGGGTGGGGAGAAAAAAGACAGAAAGTACAAAACGGGAAGGAGTCCGTGCCGCGCTCCCAGCTACAACAGAATACTCTCAGGTGGGCACCGGTGCATCGATAGCTGATCTGGCTCCAACAGACTATCCGACGTATGTTTTAAACTAGTGCTGAGGGAATTTCATGAGAGAATTTGAGTTTGGTTATGTCTTCATGCAATTTTCCATGGCTTGCAGTTGTAGCTGACTCGTGGAAAGGAGAAAAGATCAACGCTGCCTATCCAAAGAACATGTTGTTGACTATACCGTTTACATTTAACTTTCAGAACAAAAAAATACGTCCAAACTGGGTCCAGCTAATTGTTAGTCTACGCAAGCAGACAGTTCCTTTATGGTACGATTGTAATATCAGCAATACAGGGATTGTCGTTTCTTAGGTCGGATAAAAGTGGCTTATTCTAGGTCGACAGATGCCTCAATACATACTCTGCCCATGGCTTTTCGATAATTGGATTAGCTACATCCGCCTATCCGAATTTTTTATTCCGTCTTTCCCACTCATTTGCCCCTTCCAGGCAGTCACACTGAGAGTGGGAGTTTTCTATTTTCGTGTTCCTCTCTCCGCATCCCTCCATCGTGTCATTCGGGCTTGCATTGCTATCATTTGGCGTGTGCCTTGAAACCCTCTGGTTCTAAGGCAACTTGGCTGTTCAAGGGTCGCCACAGAACTCGGTTCAACTCCGTCTTGCACCTCCGCTTGTCACACCGGTGACTGCCAGGCAATTTGTCTACGATACTGTTAATTGATAATTGTCCAGGGTAAAAACAAGCATATGCTAAGAAGAGTGGATCTTACCTATTCTGACTCCAGAGTTCGAGAGCATGGCAGCTGAATATTCCACACATAGAAAGAATATAATATATAATGCAAAAACAGAAAATGAAGGAAATGGTAATCACGTCCCACATCGTGCGAAAAGGCCTGTGAGATAGGTTGTAGTAATGAGGATCGTTTCGGGTCTCCTGATTGAGATGGTGCTATCACAGAATTACAGGAATCTCTATTCTGTAATAACCAGCCAATATTTATTTATCTTCCCTTCCCCCAAAGGGATCAGACAACTAGCGAGGTTCTGTTCCAACCAATTAGTTTTGGCGGACTGTGCAGGTCTACAACGAAAGAGGATTTCGCCTGACTCGTAAACCAGCTCATTCCCTGCGTCTGTCTCTAGCCAATGATCACTAGTCTGTGGTACCTATCCCGAACTAAGCGCGTGTCCGACCACTGTTCAATGATATGCAGCAGAGAAGATGCGAGGCAACCAGCGATTGTGATCTAGAAGCCAACTTTGCATCGTACTCCAATACCTAGGTTTTCAATACAGCAAGTAATGTGCAAAGTGGGGCCGAATGGAGAGTCCAGGGGGTCTCCGCAAACACGGAAGTATGTACTATGTAGGTAAGACTAACCAGGATTTCATTCCTTTGATTCCCATGCCAGGGTTGCACGCGAACGAAGGACTGATCTTAAGAACTGTGCGATGTTGTAGGCTATGGGAAATATGAGAGTATTTTCTGACACCAAGTTATCAACGAGATCGCACTCTGAATTGTTCTTAGCCATCCGGACAGTTGATGAAAACCATGGTTTGTTTCCTAACCACGATTGTTTATGATCCTCACTAAAGTGTTATACATCAAAGGCTCGCAACGTTGTTCCCACGTCTGAGTCCATTCTCTGCAACGCTGCTCCCTTGCCCGAATCCATTCTCCGCCTTCCAGCCCAGACAGCAGTGAAGGCATTGCAAGTACGGTGCTTAAGCATCTTGGCGGATGACTGCAACCGCCTACGGTATACGCTCAGTCGTGATGCCGTGAATCTCTTAGATACTTGCCAGGCTCTCAAGAAAAGCGGGTATAAACAGGAATGGGTAGATCGCTTAGCAGGCAACGAACTGCTCCATAGCTACGCCGAGACTTTGACAGAAATACTCAGCTACAACGATCTTCTTAAGTTGGCTCTCCTTACTTGGCACTTTGATGGATCCTTCAATGGCCCAAAGGCACCGCCACCATCTCGAGAGCTCCTGATATTCTTATCGCCACCAAC